TAAGATCATAGCATATTTCAGCATAAATGTACACTTTGAATCCTTTCCCCTATTCACCCAGTTGGATTTCAATAGCATTTCTTTTGCTTTCTGTTTAATTGAAAATTAATTACCCTACAGACAAGTCCCAGGACTCCCATCCAGAATATATTGCTTTGTTTATTTTTTTTCTTTGCCTTGACCAATTAAAACTTCTGGAATCCACTGAGATTTTTATATGACGAAGTTAAGTATTTTGCATAATTTAGGAGCAAAGTCTATTCTGGTAACAGCTGTTTTTTTTTTTTAATTTTACAATTAGGGAAGTTTTTTTTTTTAAAGACTTTATTTATTTATTTGAGAGAGAGAGAATGAGAGATAGAGAGCACAAGAGGGAAGAGGGTCAGAGGGAGAAGCAGACTCCCTGCCGAGCAGGGAGCCCGATGTGGGACTCGATCCCGGGACTCCAGGATCATGACCTGAGCCGAAGGCAGTCGCTTAACCAACTGAGCCACCTAGGCGCCCTGGTAACAGCTGTTTAACTGTAATTTCAAAACCATCTCCTGTATAGTCACAATCATTCTGTAAGAGTATTGCAGTTCTAATAACAAATGTTTGAATTGATAGTGTCTCTTTAATATTGTACAGCATTAATATAGTCCAAAAGCAATGTAAAGTCTGAGCAATCAGCATAAGGGAAAGTGAGCTATTCCGTGTAGAGTCTTCATAATTGCTCTGAAGCAGTATATCCCAATGGAATGTGCACAGATACGCTTTTGAGAAAAATTCATGAATAAGGGATAAAGAAGGAGTTTGTGCCCATCAGTTTCTCAGAGAGAAAAGATCATGTATCCTCATGTATCCTACTTTGTTTAGACAAGTGATAAAATTAATTATGTAGAAGAAATACAGAGACCAGCAGAGTTTTTGAACACTCTCCATGCACCTATTTTTTTGAGTTTTTTGAAACTGGAAATATTGGAAATTAAGTTTTTAATCAGAGAGATATATGAAAATGTATTTGTTGTGGATCATGATCACAAAATGAGAAAAAAAAGAGGTGTAGAGGCTTAAGAGGAGTGTAGAAGTGATAGTGAATTCCAGAGGAAAAAAAATAGACATTTTATGTAGACACCAGTATATGCACAGAAAAAAATTCTGGAAGAATACATAAGAAACTTTTAATTTTAGTTTTGTTTTTAAGGGAGGAATCACCTTTCATATTAAAGCTTTCTACACTGAATTAAAAAAAAAGGATAGATACTTTAAGAGCAAGGTTAAGTTTCCAAAGGAAGAGAATATGTAATTATTAAAACATAAAAATTATTAGGTTGCAAGAAATTTTTCTCTCTTCTGAAGGGCGTTAAAAATACTGAGATACTTCTAAAAACTGTTTTTTTTTTCTATTACTATTCAGTTTATAATCTTATATTTAATTATTAAACATGTCTGTAGGTAAGTCTTCTGTTGTTGTTGAGCGTGAACCAGGATGTTGCTGAGGTCAAGTAATTTTCCTAATTTTAACTTTAGCATGGAGGCACAGCATTCCAAGAGTACATTTGTGTTACACAGAGGGACTCAGCTTTCATCATGATTATTATTTCTATTTCTATATTGTTACTTCTATATTATTTATATCATATTAACCAAATCGATAGCATTCTGTATTAATGAGTAGCTTTTTCAGTTCTTGACTGTATAAGATGATTTCACATTTCTATAATTCTATTATGATATTTATAAAACTGCATGCATATTCAGGAAGAAATTATAGAAACTATATAAACCAACACCCTTAATTGTACACTATTGAACTTAGCTTCTTTTGAAGGTTTTGTGTTTTGATCAAGACTGGAGGTGCTTAAAAGAAGGAGATGTTTTAAAAAAAACTCTACAAATAGGGAAAGATTGAGTCTTGCTAATATGGAACCCAGTTCTAGTTGCTTAAAAAAGAAAAGTATGTAGGAAGAGCCTATAATTTTCACTACTATCTTTGGGCTTGGAAAAATGCCCAGGTTAGTGACAAAGGGAACTTTGGGGGAAGACTCTAAATCTACCAGAATGTAAGAGAGAAAATGGAAAATCAGATGGATAGCTTCATTAAAAACATAGCCGTGTAAAATCTTCGAGAGTTAAAGGAATAATAGCAGGATTTCTATTGATTTTTTCCAAATTGAAATATTACTATGATTTAACAATTTCAGTTATTTTGAAAATAAGCAGAGATGCAGCTGTAAGCCATTAACTACAGTCAAAGTCATTATGAATTTGCTCTTGGGGCCAGGATTCACATACTCAACTGTGACCCAGTCTTGAAACCTGATTGTCTTCTCTGATCTTAACCATTTTTTTGAAGTACAATTTCCCCTGCATCTACCCCTTCTTTTTTCAGGTGGTGTTTTATGATATCTAGGACACTGCTTCTCATACATAGACATAAATTTCCTGAAGATTTTATTAAAACACAGATTCTGACTCACTAAGTCTGAGAGTTTGCACTGTAGCAAGTACCCCGTGATGCCAGTGCTGTTGGCTTGAAGCCTGTGCTTTGACTAGGAAGGGACTCAGAATACTGCAACATCCCCCTAAATGATTATCATTAGATTGATCTTTCTATAACATGATTTTAATAAAAGTCTTCCTTTGCTGGAAAACCTTCAGGGATCTCCCAAATCTAGTTTAAAGCCCAAATCAAGTCATTCACTGCCTTCCTAATTTTGAAAAAAACTTTCTAACTTTATCTTCCACCACTCCCTTTCAGGAACTCTGAGTTTTAGCCAAACTAGTCAAATGTCCTCTTTCTGCTGAAGTTCTAGTTCCACCCAAGAGGTGAACCTAGTAGGACTACTGGCTCTTCCCCTCCCGCTTCCCAAATCCCTCCTCCTCCCCAGAAAAACAAAGGAGAGAAAAATATGGAGAAAATGGTGAGCAAGCCCTGAGTTGAGGGTTGGGGAAAAGGGAGGTGTTTGGAACACACGTGGGATGGTGGCTCTGGCCTGGGGCAGAAGGCAACTCAGCCTGGTTGTAGGAGGCTAAAATAAAAACTTTTCCCTTCATTTACTTTGGGATTTGCAATGCTAGGCCCTGTGCTAGCAGCAAATGAAAGCTGGCTCAGGTCTCCCCAGCAGGACAAGCAAGGGCAGTGTAGGTACCTGTAGGTACAAGATAGTGCTTGTGGGCAGCTGACCTCAGAGCTCTCCATACTTTTCCTTTCGCAAGCCTTGGGGCTGGGAAAGTACAATCTCATGGTCGTGGCTGTGAGGGATTTAACTGTGCTTTTGTGGTATCATCTTCATTAGGTTTAATTAGCAATGTTCTACTTGCTTTATAAAAACAAAAAGTTGGGAAGTATGCTTTCTTTTTCTGTGTTCTGGAATAATTTAAGCATAATTAGAATCATCTGGTGTTTGAAGGTTTGGTGGAATTCTCTTGTGAAGCCATCTGGGCCTGTTGCCTTTTTAAGGGGGTAGGATTTGGATAATTTTTCTATTTTTCTTTCCTATGGAAATTAGTCTACTTAAGCCACCTCTATTTAATGGTATCAGTTTTGATCAATTAAACTTACTGGGAAATTACTATTTCATCTCTGCATTATTTGCATAGAGTTGTATAAAATAGTCTCTTCAGTATTTTAATTCCTTCTCTTTCAGTGATTATTTCTTATTGTGTACATTTATGCTTTCCCTTTACCCTTTTTTATCCCTCAATAAGTTACCAAGTGATTTCTACCCCGAAGAACCAGCATTTTAACTTATTAATTCTAATATTTTTCTAATAATTACTTTCTGCTTTATTTTTACCATTTCCTTTCTTGTGCTTTACAATGTTTGTGTGTTTTTTTTTTCCTAGGATTTCAGGTTGGGATTTTAATTCATTTATTTTTATCCTTTCATTTTTATTGATGTTAAGTGCTTAAGGCTATGAATTTCTTGAATCACAGCTTTTATTATATCCCATACATTCTGCTTTTATTATCATTATTTTTAAAAGAAATTCTGAAATTTAATTTAGCCTTTTCCTTTTGCCAAAGAGTTGTTCAATAGAAAGTTTTACATTTTCAGCTGGAAAAGACACTTTAGATATTTTCTTGTTAATTTCTATTAATACTGTGCTCTGATCAGAGGATACTATTTGAATTATTTCTGTATTATGAAAATGAGGATTTCTATGTGATATAATATATGCTCAACTTATGTGAATGTTCCATATGCCTTTGAGAAGAAGGTATGTAAATTATTATTGGTGGTAAAATTCAATATAGATTCATAAGATCAACTTTATTGATGATGTGAGAAGTGTCTTCTATCCTTTCTTGTTTTTTGTCCACTTGATTTTCTTAGTCTGGGAGTGATATATTAAAGACTTATAATATTATTTTGTTTTTGACTGTTTCTTCTGGCATTTCCTGGAGTTTCTGTTTTATAAATGTGGTAGTTGTAGTCATGGCTATTTAAGAATATTATCTTTGTTATGAATTATGATCTTTATTATTTTAACATGTCTTTCCTTGTTTCATTTAATACTTTTTGTGATGATTTATACTTTGTCCAATATCAAGATGTCAACCCTGCATTTATATATGTATGTATGTATGCATGTATTTAAAGTAACAAATGCACTTTTGATCTACAGATAAAAATTACTCAGTGAAGGTCAGTAACCATTTCAGTTCCTACTCTGTTAGAGCCATATCCTGTACAGTCTTCAGGATCTAGGTTAACAGGTTATTTTCATTATTTCATGTCATCCACAGTATTAGAAAACAAGGCATTATAGCAGTTTAGATGAAATGCACTGCTAGCAACCAAATCCAGTCTCTTATATTCCATACTTTTTCTTCTTTCTTTCTTTCTTTTTTTTTCTTTCTTTCTTTCTTTCTTTCAGATTTTATTTATTCATTTGAGAATGAGAGAAAGAGAGCACAAACAGGGGAGGGGAAGAGGGAGAAGCAGACTCCCAGCTGAGCAGGGAGCCCGATGAGGGGCTCAATCCCAGGACCCAGAGATCATGACCTGAGCCACCCAGGTGCCCCCATACTTTTTCTTTAGATCTTCTACTTTGTTGTTGGAAGCTTTCATGGCATCTTCCCTGGAAGTCCCTTTCAGCTGATTCCAGGCATCCCACTTGGCCTTGCCTTTGAAATCCAGCAGCCTAGGCTGCTCTGTGTTTGTGCTACCCACAGTTCCTTGTTCATAGGGGCTGTAGGTGAACAGCATCTCATCATCTGCTGGCTCGGTCATGAGGCGCTTAGCATCCTCAGCAGTTTTGTCAAACTCAACCTGAGACATGCCGGCAGGGTTGCAAGGATTCCAGGGAACCCTGCATTTTTATTATTTATATTTGTCTGATAAAACTTTGTCCATCTCTTTATTTTTAACCTTCCTTAAACCCCTTAAGGATGTTGATAGTATGTAGCATAGAGTTGGGTTTTACTTTGTGAATCAATCTGAAAATCTGTTTAATAAGTAAATTAACCTAACTGACATACATTGATATGACTAATATGTTTGGTCACATCAGTAATGAACTCTTATTTTTTTTTATATTTACTGTACATATTGTAATAGTTACTATGATTCACCATGTGGTCTGTTTCCTTGCTTTTTTTTTTTTTAAGGGGTCTGGATTGGACAGAGTATTTAATTTGGTTTAGGAAAATTTGTGGTTTTTCTAATGATTACCTTTATTACCTTAGTCCCTTTATTCCTTATTTAGGCTTCTACTATTTGATTTGCCAGCTTAAGATGATATCTTAAGATGATAAGTATTCAGAAAATGTGTTTCATTTTTTTCCTTCCTTTTCCTGTTTTTCCTCCCATTTACTTAGCTATATTTTTAAATTCTGTCAGAATATTTAACAGGTACATATTCTTTCATCTCTTTGCCCCACCTTTATTATAGTCGTAAGCCTATAATTAAATATTTATATTAAATGTCTTCAGTGCTCACCAAAGTTCCTTTTGTTGAAGTTTTTCAATTCGTATCAAGCTGGCTTAAGCTCTTCTCTAGTCGATTCCTCAGGGAAGGCTCATGAGGACTGTATTCTCTGGATTGTTACATGTTTAAAGTTGTTTTCTATCCCCTTGATCTCCCATGCAAAGGTGAGATATTGGAGAGGCTCACTGAGATTTCTGGTTTGAGAATGGCTTATTCTGTTGGACAGAGAAATACAGTTTCCTCTTTGTGGAGAAGCAAGTTGGTGTATCTTCTTTGGCTTATTAGTTCTCCTTAATCTCAACACCTGCTGCTCCCTTTACCACCTAACCTCCAAGGGATGCGCCCACCAAGAGCCCTCCCTTTCCCCCAGAGGCTGTACCTTTTTCGGGACTGTTGCTTCTGCTCCTGTGCACTTTTCTGCCCCTTCCTTTCAGTTCTCCAGGAGCCAGTGCGCTGATCTAGCAGGTCTTATCTTTATTCCCGGCATTTCTCCAGTCCATGTGGAACTTTCTCCTCCTGGGAGTGATGTTATATCGTTGTGGGTTCTGTTGCTATTGTACCCCACTATCTTCTCCTTGTTTTTCATCTGGCCTAGGCCCTGGAGTGATTCTCCAGGTTTGGATGCTTAGACCCTACTTCCATGTAAATTGATATTTGTCACAATCTCTGTCTCCCAGTCATGTGGTAGGTATGGGTTATGGCTAGTTTTATTTGCTCCCTTTTGGGATCTGTGTGGTTTTGGGGAAAGTGAGCAGAGATTTGAATGTAGGCAATCACCATCATCCTATGGGAACTCAAAGGGCAACAGATACCACTTTTTTATTTCAGTAATTTGAGTTGAATTGTGTTGTAAGAACTTTGAGGGCACACCTAATACATTATCAGGCATATAATAAGTGATGGAGGAATGTATTAATAGATATTATAATTCACTTTAGCAAAAGAAATTACAGAGGAACTACTCTAATATTTATGGTAAAATAATCATGCCTAAATTTTATTAGTTGCTAACTCAGTGGCTTAATTGTTGCCAGTCTACCAGTGATATGTTATGGAAGTTAAATACAGAAACTGTTTCATGCATTTTGATAAAATTCTGGGAGACAGAGTGAGATGAGCACAAGTCAGGATAGACAACATGGTAGAGGTGATTTTTTTTCCTAATAATGAATGAGGCTAGATGAAACTTTTAGGTAAAGAAAACAATAAGCTATGCATTGTATTTTCTTTGGTTAAAAAATTACATATATTAAGCTCTCTACTTTTAGCTACTTGGAAAGATGTCATATAAGAAAAAAAAAAATCCTGGGTGGCTCAGTCATTAAGCGTCTGCCTTCGGCTCAGGTCATGATCCCGGGGTCCTGGGATCGAGTCCCACATCGGGCTTCCTGCTCAGTGGGGAGCCTGCTTCTCCCTCTCCCACTCCCCTGCTTGTGTTCCCTCTCTTGTTGTGTCTCTCCCTGTAAAATAAATAAATAAAATCTTTAAAAAAAAAAAAGAAAAAATCCATGAAACCTCGCCAATGATTTTGATCAGAGAATGTTGGCAGACTGAACCAAGTATCTGATAAAGTAAATGTTGCCAAATAATTTCAACATTTATAGTAGATGGTTTCTTCAACTTAATTGTGTGGCTCTGTGAGGACACAAAAATAAAGTAGATCAGAAAAGATAAATCAGTACCACTTTCAGGGGATGGGACTGACAGTAGCTCCCACCTTTCTCGAGAGCAGAAGTTTTTATGGTGGTGAGCATACTCCGTATCTGTGCTGTCCAATGATGGCTACCAGCCACATGCGGTGAATGGCCTGAGCAACTCAATTTTTAACTTACCTATTTTAATTACTTCATGTAGCCACCTGTGGTTCATGGCTACTGTATTGGGCACTGCAGGTATCCAAAGAGACATTCATGAGCTCATGCTTGAAGTTATCTTATATGGGGGAGATAAAAGAACAGAAGAGAAATTTGGGTGGCATGAGGAGGTGAGGATTTTCTGTCTGTTATCTATCTATCTGTTTATCGATTTATCTATCATCTATGTATCTATGTATCTATCTATCTATCCATCTATCTGAGAAAGAGCAAGGGACTACTTTTTCATAAGAAAAAAAAGAGGAAATGCTATTTTCTACTCTTAGGTGAGCTCAGGACTACTTGTTGTAAAGTTTTGAGTCTTTTCAGTTGTTGCCTCTGCAGCTTTGTAGCAGACTATGATATCCACCTTTGTTTAACTCTTTGCCAACTTGGTTGGTTGAGTATGTTGAAACTAAGTTAAGGAACACATATATACTCACACGAAACACACAGCAAATCCATCCCCATATTTGTCCTGATGTTAAGCCAAGAGCTATCTAGAAATTTATTAACCAGACCTGTAGTTTACTGGTTTGTTGGACTGTTTAAGGCCTAGGTTTCTTGGATTCAGGACTCAGGCTGCCTGAGTTTCAATTCTGGATCTCCCATTTATTAGAAGTGTGACTCTTGGAGACATACTTAACTTTTGTATTAGTTTCCCCATGGGGTTGTTATGAAGGTTAAATGAACTCATAGTTGTGAAATATATAGAATAATGCTTTACACTGCTTATTGAACAAGTTAAATTAAAATTAATTAAAGATTAGATGCTACCAGTATTCGTGACTTTTTCTCATTTAATTTTCTCATTCATCAGAGCTTGTTCAAATACCTGTCATGTGGTAGACATCAGAAACACCATCAGGTGACTGGCCAGGTTGGTACTGATTTAGTAGGCTTCATATGTGATGGGCTCCATGTTCAGGGTCTCAAGATGGTAGCACAAGCTCATTGTTCTCTACTGCCAGGCAAATAGAGAGTGGAAGAAATGTTGAGGCTTTTAGGGATGAGTTTGAAATAACTGCAAATAGGAAAAACATGTTGTCTGATTTTGCCACGAAATACCTTCCAGTTTAGCAATTCTGAGACAGATCTGTTTGCAAAATGTGAGTAGGTACCTAGGTTAGGCTGATAGCATACTCAATATTCTGTTGCTAAGGTTCTAAGCCTATTCGTGGTATCTATTTTTAGAGTGTACAAGAATGAATCAGAAGCTTATGATTAATTATTAATGATTATGAAATAACCCTGTTGGATGATAGAATGTAGAAAGTTTTAATAACAGCTGCTTTGAGGATTACTTTTAACAAATACATAAAAGGATTTTTGAAGATATATTTTACCTCCTTGGAACCTTGCTTGTTTTGAAGTAATTTTCTCTTTAAATGTCTATGGTATAATCCTATCTTGAAAAGAAAAGACCATGGCAATGAGAGGCTCCAAAAAGATTAATTATAACTATTTATTAGCATGTAAACTAAATTCATGACATTTATGACTGTCTAACAGCCTGTCAGATTAAAAGAAAACTTTTTTTTTCAGTGTGGTGTCCTTTTTAGTGTCTATAATAATTAGTGATATTGATCATTTACTACTTCCAGGCTCTGTTCTCAATCAGTTACGTAGGTGAGAAAACTCAAGGGTGGAAAAGTTAAATACCTGGTCATGGTCACACAGATAGTAAGGATGGATTTGATCCTGAGCAATCTGACTCAAGAGCCTGTACTCTTGACCCTGATTTCTTTTCTAGTTCACATAAAGGACCCACCATACATCACTAAACAAGGCCATGGGAAGATTACATCTTGTACGGATTTCATTCTTCCACATCCTACTGTAAGCATTCATTTGTTTAACAGTCACTGAACACACACTAAGCTAATGATGGATGCGCTTTATTGAGCATTTATTGGCTAATGGTTTAAATGTATCATCTTATTTAACCCTTGTAGCTACCCCATGACATAACTTAGAGACCTTAAATGGCTGTGTGTTGCGGCGAGCCCAGAGGCAGGAGTTCAATGCAGGTCCCCCGACTCCAGGGCTAACGCTCTTCAACAACTTCAACACGTTACAGGCAGCGGATTGTGCTCAGTGCTGTAGAATATGGACGTTGCTCAAATCACAAACCCTTTGAAGAACTTGGAATGCAGGTTTGCTGGTAAGATATGCATGCAAATAACTGTGCAGAGAGTTATAAAGGTTAGAGATACTCTCCTCCCAAGCTCATCAGACACAGCAATCACCTTTGACAAAACAGGAAAGACTACATAGAAAAGGATATCTGAGCTGATTAAAGAAAGAAAGTGAAATTTGGAAAAGGAATGATTTAGGAAATCAAGTTCAGATAGTGAGAACTAGCAGTAGGCATACGTAGTGATTTTGAAATAAGAAAAACAGTTTTATTAATAGGCCTGTTTCCATTTTTCAAACACAGCATAAGGATTTTCTTTCCAAAGTTGGTTTATACTTTCCTTCATTTGTTTAATAAGTAT